CGCATACCCTCCCGAATGCGAGCCTCTTTCTCAGTTACCAAACTCCGCACCACATTGGAGACTGAATAAAGAATTGTAACGAGCATAAAAATTGGGAAGAAGGACTGCGCCTGCCCCCAAAATCCTGCTTCGGTGTAGCCAGGGGATGGAAAGTTGACCACGGAGGCTGTTAGCTTCCGTGGTGTGCCGGCGGCTTGCGAGATGATGAATGAATCTACCAGATTTTGCACTGCTAGCGCCCCTGATTGGTACCAAGATTGTAAATATTGGCACGAGCATCGCGAGCATGCCTTAGGCCAGTCATTCGGGTTCTTTAAGAGGCTATCTGTGCTCAGCGTGGTCGGCGGAAGATTGTAGGTATACCCTTCATTCACGGTCCGGTTCACGCGCAAATGGTAGTGCCAGTTGGGGGCACCTGAATCGAAGACAACTGCCACGCCGATATTTTTTAGGGTCGTGTTGACAGCGTAGTCCGGTTGAGCAATGTATGCATCCAAGTCTGCCTCCGAAGGGAAAAGTAGTGTCGACACGCTGGAGTTTGTCAAGTCTTGCACACGGAGCTGCAGGGCATTGGCAGCTTCGGCTGCTGCTGCATCAGTGTTGGAGGACGGAGCTACCGCAAACACCAACTTGTTGCAGGCATCAGGACTGCAATCTCGGGTAGGGCACCGCCAGAAGATGTTGGAATCATAGCCAGTACATTGTGGGTTACCGTTAATTGCGTGGAAATGATCAAAACGTATTGTACGAGTAGCGTTGGGTAGCATCTCCAACAGCACTTGAGGCTTGATGGTGTTATAGATCGCCAGCATACCGAGAGTAAGCGCAAGAGGAGCCATGATCTCGATCACGAACGACTTCCAATGCTTGCGTCTTAATAAGTTGTTCTTCCATATTAAAATCTGAGGGGGAAGGTAGTTTTCAAATCGTTGACTTGTGAGCTTGACCGCGCGCGCAAATAAAATGGCTCAAGGCAAGCCATCTACTTGTTTTGCTCAAAAGAATGTCACAAAAACCCAAAATTCAAGAATTGCGGATTTGAGCTATTATAAAATGATGCGTGGTGTATATTCTTGCAAAAAGCAATCAATAAAAAATCTTGGGTGTGGTTTTGAAGGGAGAACAAAGAAAGTACTTTATCGGATGTAAGGAGTCCCCCTTGAAAAAACCGTGCCCTCTTTCAAAATGCTCCTTCGAAGCCCACAAATATAAGGACACAGAGACACAAAGCATGTCATGACGTGGACGCAAATATTGACAAAGGCTGTATTCGCGCCTTAAAGCTCTGCAAACATTGAATATTTCTCTTAAATCCTCTTCATCACGAGTACGCACCGAACATTGACGCCAAAATACCCTACACTTTGTCATGGAAGCCCGTCAGAGCGAAGGACGCCCTAGCCACGTAGGCGTCGGGCGGAAGAAGATTTTACCGCAGGTGACCCTATATTTGTGAGCAGTCTTACTGCGGCATGAATCGGAGAGAAAGGGAGAAGGCTGAAGGATCAATTTACTCATGTTTGCAAATAAAGGCATTTTTTCCCCAGTCTAGTCTAGCATACGAGCTTACTAGAATTACACCTGAAAATTACATTGACTTCTACTATAACTGCTTCTTTATCGTTTATTACAGCGAACATGTAAACAAGCACAAATGCACCGATGCGCCTGGGCCACAACCGTACCTTTTTTGACAAGGCGCTCGAGGTCGTACATCTATCCAAGTGCGCGACACGATATACAGAGTGTATTTATATACCTACTGCACTGCACTCGATTTTTCGTGTACGATATCTACACGAAGTCCTCACATGGAACCTGTTCACTGCAATGTCGATTCACTCCTTTAACGGTCCCGCCCAGATGGTCAGCAAATCTGCCGACCGTTGAATTTTGAGACGCGCCAAAGTGTCCTTTGCCAAGCACCAACACGGTGCGGATACATTTTACTTCAGTTACTCTTCCCTCAGAACTAATGACTGCGACGGAGAAATATCGATTTTGTGGCTGGAGCGTGTACGTTTGTTATGATGGACAATCAATAACGAATTCAAAGATACTAAGACGTCCGCTCTTCAGAATTCTCGCGGTCATACGTCCAGTCATGAATGTTTTAAATACGTAATATGATAAAGCGTCCAACATGTCTGCGCAGTGTGCCGCTGCTTTGTAGAACACCACGACCTTGATGCCATGTGAGTGCTGCATCTCAACGCCATAGTTTTGAGGTAATGAAAGAAATGCGGAGCTCTGTGTTGATTCAGAAAGTACCAATAATTAAACACCTAGGAATTCGCCTTCTGGACAGAAGGAATGCCTTCCATCCAGGCGAGAGGCGTGAAGAAGCAGGTACAAAAAATAGTTTCACGCGTAGTAACTTGGTTGAAAACTGCATCCAGATTGTAAACATGCGTCCGCAAAATTTAGTCTACCCTACAACCGAATAACACATCCTGCATCACTATGCCATCCGCATCACTATGCTACGGATTAATTACAATTGCATTTGTATTCCACGTATCGATCTTTCTTTGACTCTTTTGCTCACTGTGGCCGACTATTCCCAGATACTTGAAGGATCATATATCTTTTTTCCGGTTGTTCACAACGGAATCCTCCTGCGGAGCCTGGTCCTTCCTCGTACTGTTTTAGCTGTGTAAATTTGTATTCCTATAGTGTCTTACAAAAATCCTTCAGGATCCTATCTTCTGAAGCAATTTTATCGTACATCGTGTATAGCACGTCAAGGGCCTCTTCGCTCTGTCTGAATCCCTCACCTAAAAACCCTTGATAATGTCACCTATATAACGCTGCAAAGATTTGCATCGTGAACCATTGCTCCTCAGATAACCCTTACTTTTATTACTAGAGGGTATCAGAAGAATCAAAAAGAGATCAACTTGTTCCTTTCCTAACCGTGTCCAGCTGGCACGGCACGGCAAGACCATTCATGCGACATCTGATCTCTTCGTATTGATATATCTCGACCCTACCAGCAACATACATTGCCTGACTCACCTGCGTTTGACAAATCAGATTGCGTCTTGTTGACTCAAAAAGACAAAGTGAAGAGCTGGCAAGTATTTGCTGCCTCTTCTGAATGAAGAAAATATTAATGAGATTTAAATGATTGCCGCTGCAGGGAGGACCTTCGAGCCGCCCCCGACACACGTGGGAGCTGTCGAAGTACCCTTCTTATCTTCGATAGTGACGCCCAGCGAGGACTTCAAATCCCTGATGATTCCTGCTGCAGGACCCTTCTCTTCCTCCTGTTGCCCGGCAAAGAAATTGAAGATCTGCTCCAAGGACGTTTGACATACCGAATAGTCCTCTACATGCAATCTCCCTTTGTTATCTTCGATCAAGCCGAACATCTCAGAGAGCTTGCGAGCCGCCCCTGTATTTGTGTCCTTGGACGGAATCTCGAAGCGAACCTTGGTGCCTTGGCGCTCTCGCAGGACGGCATCGGGGTAGTTGTCCATTATAAACCTCAAAATACTCTCCATACGGTCCTCCAACGAGCACCAACCAGCAAACTCCCGCACACCTATACTACCTGAAGCCGTCACCGTTTGCCATACATCTGCTCCAGTGCCCGTCGGTGAGATAACCTCAAGCCACGCTGCCTTGTCGATAGCTGCTAGAGCTATCTCTAGCTGCGGCATAGTGAAGCGCTCCGTTGAGAGACGTGCCGCCGCGCCTTCGAGGCGAGCCAAAAAGGTGTCGTCCGCCGGCAGGACCATTCGTTTGCCCTCTGTCTCGTCCCCACTGTCCTCGTCGTCACTGGCCGGTACAATCTCCCCACGTGGCAATGCGACGGAGATTTCTAGCTGGTAGCCCATCCCGTATCGCGACTTGAGATGCTGCGCAGACCCCATGCACCGGAAGCGGCCTCCCACCATTATGCCGATGCGTGTGCACAGCGCCTCACATTCCTCCATGCTGTGTGTCGTGAGGATCACACAGCATTCGCCCCGCTTTGTCGTGATGTCGCTGATGACCTTCCACATGAAGCGACGAGCCACAGCGTCCATTCCAGAGCTAGGCTCATCCAGAATCACGATCTGAGGAGAGCCGATCATAGCCATGGCCACGCTCAGCTTGCGCCTGTTGCCTCCCGAGTAAGTCGTAGCGTTCCGGTTCGCAAATTCCACCAAGTCCATCTCCATTACTTTCCGCGCTACCACCGTCTTCACTTGCGCCTCGCTCAACCCCTTCACACGGGCGTACAGCTCCAAATGCTCCTGACCAGTCAGCAGATCGAAAAGAGCGTCGAACTGAGGACAGTACCCTACCAGGCGGCGAACCACTTCCGGGTTGTCAGCGATGTCGTACCCGCCAAGCCACACCTGCCCTGACGACGGCGGGAACTCAGCCGTCAGAATGCTCAGCGTGGTCGTTTTGCCTGCACCGTTCACACCAAGCAGACCGAAGCACTCCCCATTAGGGATGCCAAGAGACATGCCCCTCACAGCTAGTTTCCCGCCACGATACGTCTTGGTCATGTCCTTGATCACCACGACATCCCCTCCCGCTTTCATTGTGTCTATCGTTGCCTCGCGACGCACGCGATTCTCCTCCTCCAGCACGGCTTCGTCTTTTCCAGAGCAGTCCTTCGCAGCCATCGACGAAGAGCCGCCCTCTAAAAGCTTCGATACGGTAGGACGACGGATCAAGTACTCGACCCACAAGACCAGGACGAAATATACTACAGTCTCCACACTCATGTAGATCATAGAGTACCCGGCGATGTTCAACGAGTATGGTGTGTATTGTTTCTGATCCAGCGACGAAAAGAAGTCCGTGAAGACGACATTCAAGAGCCCATTTCCTGCAGCGAATGGCGGAGCGAGCCTGAAAAGATACACCAATTTCAAAGCCACATCGCGGGTGATTGGAATGAAGGTCATCATCACCGTCAAGGTCACAAGAACAACGCCGCACATGAAGTTCAACATTATTGTCGCAACCTGAATTCTTGAATGTCTCCTGAAAGAAAACGTCGTTAAATATGTGAATCCTGTGACCGATGTTCCAAACAATTCCATCAATAGGACCGTAGCTCCGAAAGCCTTTCCGTTCATTAACGCCCGAGCATCGAACAGCTTGAGGATCACGATTGTCATCCAAAGCGGCACCTGATAGCTTGCGAAGTCAAACAGCCACGTAGAAAGCCAGTACGACAAGAACGATACCCCCGATACTAGCTGTAGATGCTTTGCTTTCGTCTCACGCTCACGCACAACAAAGACAGCAAATGCTGCCGGAATGAACGCGAATGCCAACATCATCATTATCACGATGGTAAATCCGTCAAAAGAGGCTGCAGTGCTGATCTCATTCCGTGTGACTCCCAATGGCTTGATTGTCGTTTTGATGCTCGAGCCAGGAGCGTACTGCTGCAGCAGTGCGTCGTTGATCAAGTTTGCAAATATGGCCGACGAATGAGCGCCTGTGTAGTTCGCGTGTACATTGTAATTGAACTCCTCCAAGTCGTCTACTACGGCGAAAGTCAACGCGCCGTACCGGGAAGCTTTCCAGTCCCTTCGCGTGTCCAGAAGGCCAGAGCTCATGTTTTGAACCGAGTTGGCCGCAATACTGTACGTCGGCAAGGTCGAACCTGAAGGAATGCCAGCCATGATCACGTCCTGTCCCACGACATTCGGATTTTCCATCTGTTGATTTCCCTCCCACATCGTAAATATGAACGATTCACCCTCCGCATTGTAGGGCAGCGGGTTGCGGTTTATTTGGATGCCCGGATTGTACGCATCAAGACTGAGAGTCAGGGGAGGCATTTTCTCGGCAAAGATACTGTTGACTCCAGCTCTCATCAGCAGGCAGCCGACCAACACGAAAAGAGCGGGTAAAACGAATTGATACACCCATGCCTTTTTATCGCGCTTAAGGTACAGCATGCGTTTGACAAGAAGTGCGTACATGTGTCGCCGGAAAAAGAGCCAGTAGTTATTATAATCTATGCGTAATTTCTCCACATCTGTTACTGCGTCGCTATTGACCTGCTTATTGTATGCCCCTGCGCCTGGCGGTGCTTTGACATCTCCAGAAGATATATCTTTTTGACAAGCAGCGCCCAGTCCCTTATGACTCTCATCATGTGATCCCCTCTCATCAAAAGTACAAGATAAGCTATTTCTAAGCCGGCGCGACTCTTCCAAGCTTCTCCGACGTTCTTCCAAACTGTTGCGGCGCACGGAGATTGCAGC